CTTTCAATAAATATTCCCCCTAATAATAAATAATTTCTGACCACCCGGATTATTTATCATTAGGGGGGGGGACGTCGTTTATTATTAGGGGGAAGAGACCACGCAGTGGTAAAGTCTGCGGGATACATCTGGCACTACGTGGAGGGCTCACCTAGAGTCCCTGTAAGTCTCCCAAGCTATGCGTCCTGTGGGCAACGGATACCCATAATGCTTCAACTCTTATACTCTGTCAATATCGGGGGTCTTCATTATCAGAGGCGTTCTTCTAATCCGCATGAGCCAGCCACGAGCGCAAGCTTTCATAAAAGATTAACCCGGGAAGCCGCAAAAGCGCAGTTGCATTAACCCCCAACCAAAGTAGTCGCCCTAGACCTAAACCCTGAAGCCGAAACCCTGATGTACTTTGTGAAGATGGGCCGGGCCCGAAACTCTAAACCCTTCCCCTCAGCCGGGGTAGCCAAGCCAGGAACTGAGAGATCTCCTCTTCAATGGGAACCTCGAACTACGGCTTTAGGGTTATTCCAGATCCACTCCCCGAAGTCAGGATCCCTTTCTGGACCTTCTGGGCATTATAAGTTAGCGCGACTAGCGATGTAGCGATGTTTTTGGAACGTTTTTTTCAACAGTCACCTACGTTGAAGTGCGAGAAGCAGGCGGCCGAAGTTTGATGGTTTGCTTTAGTCCTTGGAAGGTGCATTTGATTTCGTTCGGATGTGGCATACATGTATGCGTGGAGGTGGCCCTCTAGTTGTGCCAATGCTGAACCCTTCGACTGTCTCATTGCGTGAGACGAAGGACCACCAAGACCAGGACAAGCGTGATCTGTACCCAGCGGGGGGAGGAGCAGGAGCAAAAGCCATACATGTAGCCGCCGGGGGCGGAGGGTAGCTGTGCTACTTCTACGACAAGAGGCAATGCCCGCACAAGAAAGTAAGTGAGAGAAAGCTATTTCTAATGGCTCGTCACCGTAAAAAGCGCGGATAGAAAATGTCTTGCGCCACCGTAATTATCTGCCTTCAATCATGGGAACTATGGTAACTATGTGACTTGTCAAGCCAAGTAGCGCAAGATTTCCTCAATCAACAAAATTTCCAGCTCAGGAGAGGAAGTATGAAGATCCGCAGCGGCGCTGAAGGAGCCGAAGTCCCGGGCCCCGCGGTGCTACTAAACGTTGTAAACAGAAGTGCCATAAGAGGGCATGGCTTCATAAAGTCAGGTTCCTTGTAGGAGTCCTCTTGGCACCTATTGGGGATTGCTGGGGTTTGTCTTAGGGAAATATGGGAGTTTAGGTGCTGTGTGGACACGCTCCGATTAAGCCCAAGAAAGCTGTAATGTAAGATTATTGCAAGCAGCTCCGTACCCCAGTCAGGGCCCCCAGAAGTTGTGCATGGGTGCTTTTGTTTCGCTTTGGGGTTCCATCATTTTGGCATTTGGGGCTTCAGCACGCCAAGTATCGTTGGAAAAAATCTAGCAAGAGGCAAGAGGTGAACAAGTACTCTTTTCTCAACATTGCAAGTTGATCCTTTCAGTATCTGAACAACTTCAATACCAATCCCAAGACGCCCAGAACACGGTTGAATCGGCGCTGAGATCTATCCTGGCACGTCGCCGAGTCATCAGAGCAAGTTCTGGACTTTCTGCATGGAGGCCAGTGTGATCCATAGCCTAAATTCTTTAAAGGGGGGTTGTATAGGGAATATATAGGGGACTAGTGTAGGGCTTACTAAGGGACATATTAGGAGTTTAGGCTACAGCCCATGTGCTTAGGAGTAAATCTACTGCTCACGCCCAGAAAGCGGAGCAAGGTATCTTTGAGTTTCCTGATATGATTTGGGCTTGCAACCTTGCCTCGGCACAGCTCATTACATAGATGTTCATGTGAGCTATAGTCTAAACTTCTTAAAGGGGGGGGTATATAAGGGAGTATATAGGGGTCTACTACAGGGGTTATGAAGGGGGATACTAGGAGTTTAGACTATTGCACATGTAGCATGCCCGGCTTTTGGTGCTTGGTAGATGGCCAATCTTCCTTCCAGGAATCTCAGTGACCCTCTCTGCCTCGCATGCCTTCTGTTGTCAGGCTTCTGCCATTTTGACGAAGTATGTGCCATCCCGTAGCAGTTTCCATTTTATTTTCCATGTTCTTTTCCATTTGATTCTCCATTATTGGGGTAATATGGGGTACCAGCATACCGTCTCCCAAAGTATAGGGGACATTGTGGGCAGAGGTTCGGCCAATGCAGGTGACCAGTCTGAGATGGACTGTTTGTTCGCACCACCATACGCATGCTTGCTCATTGGATATGAGGAGGACTAGTGGAGGGGTCTGCGCAGAAGTTAGGGAGGCCGGCTTGCTTGCTGAGGTTGCTTAATTACATGGTTTAAGACCTGTTAGCAGCAGGCGTCCCCAGAACTGTGTGGCAAACCATTCAGAATGGTTCATGAGTCATTGTCAACATTTTTCAACGATTCTCAACTTTGGACCGGATGTTTTGAGAAGTCTTTTTACTTCTCGTTCATGGCAAGAGCCAAGAAGCCGCCAAAAGCTCATGGCATAATACCGTAAGTGGTGAGAGCAGAAAAGGGCAGCGAGAGGCTTGCAAACTTGCAGAGGGCCAAGATGTAGATCACAAGAAAAGTGAGATGGCCAAGATCATTGCCAATTGCCAAATGCTCCCTCATACTTCTCGTGAACTTCCACTGAAAAGTACTATTTGACCCGCCATACATCTCTAATTACCCTATAAGGGGGATTCCTAAAATTAGGGGTACCATTTTGGGGATTCCTCTAATAAGGACTATAGTATATTGGGGTCTATATTGGAGTCCCCCTATTTTGGAAAACTGCCATAAAGCTGAATCTGCGCCAGGCCTTGCATCCATCCAGGCGACGCCAGCTCTCGACCCGCAGATTGTTTCTCCTAGCATTTGAGATCATTATATGAGCTATAGTCTAAACTGTTTAAAGGTGGTATATAAGGGATTATCTAGGGGACTACTACATGGGGTTATTAAGGGGATGCTAGGAGTTTAGACTATGGTTCATATGCTGCAAGCCCAAAAAGTCCTTGGAGGTCAGAGGGACTTGGTAAGTATACTTATAAGTGTAAGCTCCATCCGCCACATAATGATGTCCATCTATCCCCCTAGCTACTCCTGAAGTACCCGGGACCCTAAACCATAAAGCCCGAATAGTACGGTCCACAGTGGTTTCGGTGGTTTCGATGTTTTACGCTATGCCTATTTGCTAACCTAAGCCCTAAACCCTATACCCTATAACCCTCCAAGTATGGGCCTGCCAGGTGGCATGTACGAATATGGAGATTTCAAGCAGCGAGGTTGGGGCCTTCGACGGGCTGTTTCACGATGTTAACGGGGTTTTAGGGTTTGGGGGCTGGGTCTCTGAGGGGTCAGGGAGGTGGCTAGAGGTCTTGGGGCCTGGCATTCGAGCTGAGTGCATGTGGTTGCGAGGAAGAACTGCTGGTTTCAGGGCTTAGTTTTTGAAAGGGGTTGCTAGTCAAGGGTTTGGTGTTCAGAATTCCACCCTTGCGGAGAGGCGTCCTTGGCTTGGGCTGCATGGGGCTCCTGCACGGAAATCTGCAGCTAAAATCTGAAGGCTAGCAGTGGGGCGTAATCCACTGACGTGTGTGCTTTTGGTCATTTTCAAGGTAGCCTGGATTTCAATACCAAGCTTCTGCCAAGGCTTTGCACGTACAAGGTGTCAATTTTGCGAATGAGGACAAGTTTTTCCGTGTGAGACATACAAGTCGCGTGGTAGTGCTGTAGCACCGAAAATAGTTAAAACAGTTCAGTTCAAGTTTTTAGCGGGTCATCCCATGAGTTCAGCCCGCAGCCTCAAGGATTCGAGCCAAGCCTCAAAGAATCCTCTGTTCATTTGCGCCCTTATGTAGGAAGAGATTATGCAGTACTTATTTTGGGTTAGGCTAGGTGCATCTTTCAGGGTAGACAGCCTTGGGAATTTCATAGGATGAGGTCCACGTGTTCTTTCAAACATATATATGGAGTCAAGTAGCATACGGGGCATGTGCGAGATGGGTAACCTAGCAACCAGCAACCTCCAAGTGAGCATCGTTTCTTTCGGTATGCAAGAGCTATGACAGCAATGAAGCAGCATGAGTGGTCGCTTAGCGTGTTGCTCGCTCGGCATAGTCTCACATAGGCTTGCGCAGGCACTGAAGGTTGTTTTATCCGTGTAGTCTGCGCGGCTACGCAGCATATTGCACAGCCAGATCTGTTGGGTGTTCCGTGTAGGTTGTTGAATAGCATGAGTGAGCCGGCTTAGCCTGCTAACGTAAGCAAAACATCGATTCCGTGCAGTCTTCGTCGGACCCCCTCCGTCTCAGTATAAGATTCCATAAGGCCGAAACAATGCCCCAGTGACTTGAAGGTGTCCTCCATCTTCCAGGTAGTGGTGGCTACTTCGCAAGGCGCGGGTCGCATTTGAAAGGAAGGAGGAAGCTTGCACCACGTTTTGCATCCCCAAACTGACGCGCTCGGGGCCCGTGTAGCGCAAGGTCCCTTTCAGGGATACGGAGCTCAGGCATACCGGACACCGAGAAAGTATCCAAGTAGAAGCTACAGCGGGCATCATGTTCTTTGATAAAGACTGAGTTGCTTGTCCCCGCAATTGCTCCGCCAAACATAATGATCAGGCCTAATCAGGGCCCACTGCGAGGTATATTGTAGAATATCATACACCCAATATTGGATGCATTGAGCAAGAAGGGTTCGGCGTTTCGGTTTGAGCGCGCACGGTTTGAGCATCTGGCACTGTCGATGGTGTAGAAGAGCACCAGCAGCGTAGTAGGCTTGGTACTTGTCATCTGTCTTTTACTCCGTGCAACTGAGCTTGCAGTTGTAATACGGATAGTAAATAGGTTGTTCCAGAGCTTCGCGCACCGACGGCATTTATTGCGCTGCTGTGCACGCTGCTTTCGCCGCGGCGTGGCATTCGCTGCGCTCCCCGCGCTCACCACGCCCGCTGCGTTTACCGCGCACGCCGCTCACCAGAGTTGCTGCACGAACCGGCAGGCAAATCCACGACGACAACTCGCCAAACAAACTTTAGAAAAAGGGTACCATCCAACAAAGGACACCCAACCCAAATAAAACGGGCTACACATATCTATTTCGAGCATCCCCACCCTAGAGCCGTTATAGCAGAAGAAATGTAGTGTTTCGGAGAGGAATGGGGAGGATAGGGTAGGCCAGTGGTTGCTTGCGGATCCAACTTCCTACAATCCTAGAACATGCGTATCTTACTCGGCTCCCAGACAGTACAGGGGATTCTTGACACCGAGAGCTGACACGGACCATAGCCAAATAGATTAGTGCATGGGGCTGCAACCAGTCCTGAGTCCCCTTTCTCTGGGGCAATGCAAGACCTCGCACTGATACATCACTTTCTTAACTTAAACAGGAGCCATCCCTTTGCAACGAAGAGGCCCTAGATGCACCTGACGTGTGCGAAACCACTGCGATACCATCAGTATCCAAGAGTTTGATGAAGAGCTCAAAGTTCAACAGATGCCGTTTTGGTTTCAGCACCCTATAGGCATGGATATGCAGGACGTGGGCTTTAACTCCGGCCTGGTAGTGAGGTTTAGGATGAGTTACTCCTCTGGAATGTTGTTTCATGATGACTCCCAACTCTGGCTTTGAAGCTCCTCCTATGTTTGAAGACTTGCTTTTTTGGTTCAGACCATCAGCAAGTTTGAGCAACCCTCCAAGAAGAGAAGAAGCCGAAAACAGCCCTGAACACCGAGCCCTTGCAGGGAGGATGTGGCCTTTGCCGTCTGCTGAGCATTATGCAGTGACAACACTTGGTTATGGGTCCTGCAAACATGGAATCCCATGACCTTTTGAAGCTAGTCTCAAAATTGACCCACCCTGGTCCCGATTTTGAGTAGTCTTCCAGTTCACTCCGGAAGATAGGATCCAACAAAATCCATCCTCTCCCAAGAACCCTTCACCACCCAAGCCTGCAACCAATGCCGCAGCAAGCGGCCATCTCTCCAATGCAGGCGACTGCATCTCAACTGCTATATTGCGCTTTGTCGACTTGGCGAATTCAGACAGGGCAACAAATCCGGCGAGAAGGACTTCTAGATGGATTGCCGGGTCTTGCATTCAGGAGACCTAGAAGTTCCACTAAAGTGTGCTGGATCTGAGATGAATAAAGCCTTAAACCATTTCATAGGTTTGAAAGGTTTTTATAGGTTTTATGGATCTTAATAGATTTCTACTTCTCCGAGCTGCAATCTTTACACTTGTAGACTTGTAGATGTTCTGTTATAGCTTTTTATAGGTCGGAGATCTATAGAACCATTTTAATAGCTTGAAGGCTTTACAGGTTTTTATAGATTTCATAGGAATCAATCGATTTCAACTTCTCTGGACTTCTGTTTGTATAGATTTCACAGGTTTTATAGACCTGAGATCTATAATTAATAGAAAGCCCATCAAACCATTTTATATGCTTTGATACGTCTCCGGATTTTATAATTTTAGACTTGAGATCTATAAGTCCTATAAATCCTATGAAACCATGATATTTTATAGGGTTTGTAGGTTTCATGATTTTATACGTTGTAATAGATTTCCGATTCTCCGAACCGCTGTTTTCTAAGACCATCAGGTTCTTTAGATTTTATATGTTTTCTAATTCTGAGATCTATAAACACGTATAACAGCTATAAAGCATTAGATTTTTTAGGCTTCAGAACCCAGATTTATTAAAGTAAGAAACTATTCTACCCCTTGGGCCTCCATGGTTGGCAGCTGTTATTAGGGTTTGGCTCAGTGTTCTGGCTTTAAGGTTATGCAGTAAAGCGTGTGGTGGAAGGGTGTCGGTTGTATGAGTTGAAATATTTTGAAGGTGACTCATTTTCTTGACGTTGTGGGTCCCAATGGGCGGGTGGGTAGTTTCTGGTCCCAATGGGCGGGTGGGTATTTTCTATGACTTAAGACAGCTGCTCTTGGACTTGAGATGCTGAACCCTAAACCCTCAACCCTAAATAGTAGTTTCCATTTTATTTTCCATTATCCCCGTAGAACCCCAATACATGCCACTAATATTGCCCCAGCGGGTACCCATATCCCCAAAACCGGATGACAGGATCAAATCCTTGGATGCTTTGGGCGAAGTGGTGACAGTTTGTTGCAGGCCGGAAGCCCAAACCTCCCCCAACAAAACAAGAGGGTATATAGGGATTATAGGGGTGACGTCAGCAAAACAAGAGGGCATGTAGGGGTTACATAGCGGTTATACGGGGTTGTAAGGTGTGTGTAGGTGTTATCAAGGAGGTAAAACAAGGGGGTATGTAAGGCTGAAACTAGAATGGGGTTATTTTATGATGAAATAAAACTTCTAGACGGCATGCCTGGGACTCTTTGGGAGTGTTTGGTGGCAGAGGATGTCTGGTTGAAGGTGAGGGGAGCCATGATAAACAACAAGCCAAGCTTCTACCGGGTGGAGGTCTGGCTCATTCGTGCCGTACCGCAACTCCCGCTTGACGCATCCCGGCATGCCATGTGCTGGGCTTCTGCTTGCATTGCTTGCATTGCCGACCATGTAGGGAATCTAGGGACCCTCTGGGTTCGGTTTGTCTTTGAAGGAATTTTGGACTTTGAGTTGGATGTTTCGGAAAAGCAGATCCCTTCTTTTTGGGTGTCATGTCTAGCACCATTCCATGACGTGAATGCTGCTGAACTTGTTGGGCAGTTAGAGCAGGTTCCAGTTGGAAAGCAACATTGTGTGGAGAGTCCTTCGTGCAAGGGCACGTTTAGTTCAGTGCGGATTTCGCGGTGCACATGTGTTTCATGGAAACAGAATTTTAATCACCAGCGCCCCAACATGTCTTGGGCCTGGTTGGGCGGGGTAGCAACCACGATAAAGCCCTGCTCCCCCACGCTCGGCTCCCTGTTCGTTGATCTCTGGTCATCCTTAAAAATCTGGTGTTCTGATGCAATTTCAACCGAGTGGCTTGCGACAAGCAATCCTACAAACTCTGAAGCAGGCTTTACATACGCTAGCTCTACCTACGCTGATCTTTTGTTGCCATGAGCTCGCCCTCCCCAGGACTGACTTGATACAAGTTTCCAGATTGCCAGTGTTGCCGTTTTTGTTCCAAAGCCGCGTCGAATCATGATTTGTTGATTTGTTTAGCCAGCATTCTGGATTCCACTGTTTGCCCCGCGCGCTGTTGTGCGCAAAGAAGAAGGGAGAAACCCTGAAACTCAACACTCCGCACCAGGATTTCATTAGAATTCCTCCTAGTAACGCCACGCCGACCTTCTGTAACTCTAGCACGTATTGTCACCACAAAGACGCGGACAACTTTTTGTGGCGCCTTTTGTTAGTCCTCTACACTTACCTACGATTTCTGCAAAGACACTTCCTGTAAGAGCGTAAGTCTTTCCAGTACCAATTCTATTCCTCTCTATCTGCAATCCTTATACATACTCCCCTCATTTGGGCAATTTCGGCCTCTTACAGTACGTAAAATCTTCTGGAGTTACTTCCAGGCATTTGCTGCAGCCTTCTCTTGGCGGTTCCGTGTCACTGGTTTCCCGGCCCATTGGTCCTTGGCAGGAGTCTGCAAGAGTTTAGCAGACAGCCCGAACTGATGATTAATAACATGCCTCGTAACTTGAAGGATGTTCATACACTTCATATTCCTTGTCCTGGGGTTTTTTCATAGTCATAGATAGATTGAGAAATATTCGAAGTTGAGAGGTGGTCCGATTTGCATATGTAGAGTAGGGGTTGTGCAGGCAGTACGCAGTTTGCGTGGAGGTCTGCGTCCAACGGACGCAATCTGGATTGCGCAAGGGTTCTCTCAAATGTTGCAGAAGGACTGCCCTTGCTGCTACTTTTTCCTGATGCAGGATCTGGATCGTAACTGGAGAATATGTACCAAAACTGCAACAGAGAGCCAACAGCGTGAATTTGCTGGGGAGCATCCGGGAAGCTTGAGGGGTCACGGTAACAAGCGAGCGTTGGAAGTGGGATGTTTGGGCTTCCAGTGCAGGGGCCCATCCCTGCTCGCATCGTATGCCACGTGAAGTCCTTGAGAGCATTTGGAAGGCTTGGGCGTTGAAGGCCCATGGATTAACTCCAAACACTTTCGGCCTTTCATTTTTTGGCCGCAATAGATTCGATTGCTTGTGTTTTTCCTGTCCCATCTTGTGCGCCTTGACCCGCGCTTGGTGTTGAGGTGCTCCTGGCCGCCTGTAGTCCTGCAGAGACCGCCGGGGACCATCGTCAGCCTGTTTTTCCTCACTGTGGAAGCTTGAAGAGCTTTATAGCAAAAAGAACCCCCCCATTCTTGGAGAATAATCTTTCTTGCTATCATATACAGTAAACCACGAACATTCTGTCGTCTAGTTCAGGTAACAGACGTGCAGATTGCATTGGTGCTGCTAGGAGGAGACGCTGCGAACTCTGCAGTTTGCCGACAAAGTGCGGCAGGCAAAGCCTTTACCCCAACCCTAAACGCTGAACAACTATAGATTTCTAATCCTGGTTGGCCTGGGTGGCAGGAACTCCAAGGTTAAGGGTTCAGGATGGGGTTTGGGTTTCAGGAGTTTAGGATTGAGGGTTCATGTTCAGGCAAAAAAGTATGATCCCTACCGTATCTAATTGCACCCCGGAACACTATAACCCCGATCATAAAGGGCATTCAAGCGTTGATGCGGCTGTATCCCCTTTCTGTGTAAGCTCACAAAAAAAGACCTTTGGCAGGTGATCAATTTCCCAAAGCAGAAGATTCTGCCTGTGGAGGAATTCCAGAGGCGTTTCATCTGGGAGTTGCCCAAGGTGAGCGGTATATTTTGGGGATCCAGAACAAGGATTCATAGTATTTTGCGTCTATATCAGGGCCCCGCTGGCTATCCGAACTGCCATCTGTGTACCCAACTGCCCCTGGAAATAACACCCTTGCATCAACCCCAATAAATGTTCCCAATATAATGCGGCTGTATAAAAGGCGAATTTAAATGAGGGGGTGAGGGGTTAGAGTGTTCAAGGGGAAGTGGCGTTAATAGGTTTAGGTTTTAGCCCTAGGGGACTGAACATGTAGTGCTGATGTCATTCCTTTCTCCCTAGGTCAGCACATGTGCTAGCTAAAGCCTTAAACTCTACACGGCTCTGACGCTCCATGCACCACCGACGTCCTGGGACCTCAAGCCGCATTCACTGCCATATTCAAACCTTAATCCCTAGACCTGAACCCCCCCAAGCCCTACCCCAAATCTCATGCCCCAAACCTTGAGACCCAAGCCTCCAACCCTAAACCATCCTATACCCCCTGAAGGACCAATACTTCTGCATGTAACTTGCTGGGAAATAGGGGAATAGAGGACTGGATTCCCTAAAGTAGCCCCCATGTAAGCCCCAACAGCATGATAGTTTCCATGTTCTCTTTCATTCCCCTACTTATCCTTATGAAGCCCTAGTTTCCATCTCATTTCCATGTGGTTCTCCGTTATAGTAATTGGCAGGCTCTGGGCTACAGTGGGCGGTGAAGCTTGGGCCATTGCAGCAGCTGCTTTTGCGGAAGCAAGCGCTGGAAAAAGGGGCGAGGAATGAGGGAGCAAAGGTTCAGGCATGAAGGTTTGGTAGGGTCGGTTTGAGGAGTAAGGGACTTTTGCCTTCTGGTGCTTCGTAGGGCATCAGAGAACATAATCCCTGCATAATCCCTGTGTTATATATACGCATATATATATATATGTATATATTGTTCCCCTTATCCCCTACAACTCTCCCAGTAGGCTTGATTAGGGATTGAGGTGCAGGAGGCTCGGCTCCTAAACATGAAGTAGGCTTAAGCATCAGTTTCCGAGTCATCCCTGGCACGTAATCATCAACCTCCGCCCCCTAGCATTTTGTCTCAATATACTCCATTAATGGCCTATGTTAATGTTACTCCCATAAGGCAATGCATAGCCTTTATATTAAGGACAGTGGTACCAGGTTGGGGCTATTCATTATGATGGTTGGAGGGCATTTCACAGTTGACTAAGAACGGCTTGAGCCTTGGCTGTTCTGGTATAGCGCCCGTGCCAAGATCACTGGGAATTCCTCGACGAAAGGATTCCTTCCGCAGCATCAAGCCTTCTTGTAAGGCCCTGTCTGCATTTTTTCTTATCCTCACCCTTCACCCGGTAACCCCAGACCCTGGATCTATAAAAGGCCCTGAGAAAGGCGCCTGAAACCTGAAAGTGTGTGAGGCTTCAACCCAAACGGCTCCAACCCTTAACAATCACAAAGCTCTGGCTTTCTCTTTCCCAACAGCGTTTTCGCATGAGAGGCCTTGAAAGCTCGACGGGAAGAGGCGGCTGTTGCAGTAATTGTGTAGGACCCCCACAAGTTCTTGGGTTTTTGACCCTCACCCGAAAACAGCTGGTTGACAGGGAGCAGTTCTCATGGTTCTGCATTACGCGCTACAGCTTCGCTTGGGGTCGTTTGGGATACAAGTAAAGTCTCGAAATTTCTAGGGCTTTTAAGGAATGCTGTAAGGAAGCTTTCTGGACAAAGGAGCACCTCCGCAGAATGATGTATGGTAGGTTATCCAAATTATGGTTGCTTTTTTGATCCCTATTATTGTCTGGCCCCCGAATTCATTTCATAGGGGTAGCCCAAATGGTGGCATCACCATTGGATCGGCTAGAGTTTCCAAAGCTCTGCTTCAAAGTCTGACAATCCCACCTTCACAGCCCCTTCAGAAACGGACCGATTTTGAGAGTGCCCCGGTACTTACCGCGTCCTACGGTGCCGAGTGCACATAAGTATTTCTGATGCTTTCTCTGCCATTGAGTCGTGGCAAGCAATGCCTCTTTTCATGACTCATGCATGACACAGGTAGATCCGACAACGGGCTTGCAATCCTGTGGATCACATGAGCTACAGTCTAAATATTATAGGGCTTATCCAGGGGGATATTCGGAGTTTAGACTATAGATACAAATGGTCGGTTTCCCGGCGCGCCAGGCCCTACGCCACCTTGAGCGGAGCCAGCGGCTAGGCGATGAAATGCGGCAAATCCAGGCCTTTGCGTGCGGCCGTGGAGCCCAAACCTGGGGATCGGGGTTCATGGTTCAGGATGGGGGCGTATAGTAATAACTATAGTATTAATATCAATAATCATAGTAAGAAGACTCATAATAGTAGTAATAATACGCGTAATAATATCATGGAGCCTTGAAGGTGTAAGGTTTTTTGAGCTATTGCCGGGGTTTTGAGTGTGGGGCTGCCGGCAAAGAGGGATGGAAGTTAAAAGGGCTGTTGTTTCAAATTTCAAAAACGTTCCCCTGCTGTGCTCTCCCTCAAGACATTTGGATTTCCCCCTCAACCCTTATTCTACGTAATCCCCTCCCCATAAGATAAAACCCTTACTTTGCTGATAATACGGGTTCTCCATAATACTTAATGGAATTTAAAATGGTACTATATTGGGATAAGTATTGTCGGGGGGTAGGGGGGCTTCACTGTTGGGTGGAGGGTTCGTTTAGGCCACTACAGTATCCTTGAGGTCCTGCACTTGGGGGTCCTGGGGGTGGTCTACTGGAGGGAGCCTTGACATTTGTTCGGCGCAGTGCCATGCCAAGGCATAAATAATCACCAAGAAGAATTCTTATCGTCCAAGATGTATTAGACCTCAGCATGATACTGGTAATTATTTGCGCTCGTGCTGCAGTGTCTCGTGGTCTTGTCAAAAGGGCTTTCTCAAAATTGGGGGTCTGCCTGTGCCTGTAGAAGTATGTCTTGATTACGCCTAAAGAAGAATTTGATTTGAATCAGAGTGGTTGGTTGCTTCTTTTTATTTTGTGGAAACCCAAATTGTTTACCATATGTACCCACTTTGGTAACTGAATCTAAGTTCCTTAAATCCCTATATTCCCCAAGTTTCCATTTCACTTTCCATCTTCTTTTCCATTTGATTCTCCATTATAGTGGGATAGTATAGCTTAGTTCAAGTTCCTTAACCCTAAACCCTAGATCCTAAGTAGTAGCTTCCGTTTTTCTTTTTCATTATTCCTATATAACCCCTATATTATGGTAGCTTAGTTTAAGTTCCTTAACAGCAACCCAGATCAAGCACCTGCAAGTTGGAGCCTTTCTTACAGTCAGAGCCTGGGGCGTTTTTGCCATGGCTGCCTTCCAGGACTAGGGTAGGCAAGTAAAGTGCTTCAAATCCCTGTATGGCTCTATATGAGCTATAGTCTAAATTCCTTAATGGGGGGTTACATACGGGATTATGTAGGGAGTATTACAGTGGTTATTAATGGGCATACTAGGAGTTTAGACTATGGCCCTATATTACCCCAGATTCCATTGAATTGTACATTTGATTCTCCCTTACTATCAGGGTATTATCCCTAAACCTCCTACGGTCACTATTACATCCACCTAAATCATATCCTGAGTTGTTTGTATGCTGCGCGGTTCCCGCCACTCCAAAGCCCATCCCTGCATGTCCAAGCCTCAGGCATGGGTTGCTGGCAAAATCTCAGGCGCAAGAAGGTTTCCCTCAAATAATTCTGGCCCTGGGTAGCGGAAACCCA